ACATTTAAAGTTGAGTTTCAATTCACTTCATTAGTTGATGCATTTTTCAGTTGTTTATTTCAAACCAAAGTTATTGATATATGAGTCAATACTTATACATTCTTGACATAACTATAATCTAGGATGCTTCTTTTTGTATCTACAATAGATGGTTACTTTACATATTTCGATAAGGTTCAAATTATTATAATATGTTGCGATTTCTTAGCCCCAGGGATAATTATGTCATACATTTTGTGTAAAATTCAAAAACTTTTGATTCGCGGAAAATTAAAACCTTTCCCGTTAAACAGGATATACTGATGTGTTTAATATGCACCATCATGAGTCGATAGGTTAATACACAGATGACGAGGAAAATAATCTTATCGAACTAAGACCAATAAATGGTTAAACATAACTCCAGATAGTGTAATTTGACAAAGTTTATCCTTAGAACTAAATTTGTTTATGCAATACATTTTCAATATTTTGATCACAGATTTGCATCTAAGATCCTCTTATCAGCAAATTTTGAATACAATTGAAGAATACACTTTTTATAACATTCATTTGAAGAACAAAAGTATAATAAAGCAAGAACCATTTGTTTGATGCCAGCATTTAATTAGACTATGATAAAGATCACCTAGAAACTTCATATTTTAAATAAACTGAAATGCTTAGATCTACGGATAGCCAGGGCAACAACAAAACTAAGCACTCATCAGCAGCGGTTGAAAAGATGTTTCAACATCGATTCTGTTATCCTTATCTATGTTAGCCAACGTTTCATGACAGCTATCTGCGAGATTCAGTTACGGAAGTTCAGGTATCCAGTCGCTTTTGAAAATACTTAGATACGCATCTTTCTAGTCTTAACCGTATATTCAGATTGGTCACGTCTACTTATTTCTTGACTCATATAGGAAATTGGTTACCACCACTACTGTGTTGATATTTATGCTGAATTACAAGTTATTTTCTCACTCAACAGTGATAATCTTATCTGTTTGGTGTACTTTTCTGATCACAGATTTCAAGCTTAGTTTCTAGTTGTAGCATTTTGATAACTGGCTATAGGATAAATTTAAATAAAAACACTTTTCTTGATTCTAGAGTATGCCCTGTATCACAACGCTTACTAATTTCAACAACACTTCAAAAAGCGCTCCGCGTGTTCAGATTTCTAGCAGTATTTCAGTTAGCACTGTGACATCTCCTTGCGTTTCATCCTATCGATAGATGCATTTGATGCTGTTGACTTGTAATTTTAACCAGTGCAAATATTAGTATCTGCGTAAAAGTTCAAAATAACGTTAGTGTGGTGTATTATCATACTGTAACTGTTCAATTGTAAGGTAATGAAAAAGACTGCTGTCACAGATTTCCATCGAAATTAACATGCTTATGAAGCTGCATCATACTATTTACTGGGATGATGAAGAAATACACATCAAAGAAAGAGTATGCTGTGCAGAAATTTTCTATCACGCTGGCTATTAGACATGTTAATTAGTCGGAGCGAAAATGAGAAGACTGCATGATTTTAAAGATAAGTACACTGGTGGTCCCACTTGAGTCTGATGCAACTGTCGTGTGAGTACTTTTGAGGTTACATGTGAAGATCCACGGAAGGAAAACAAGTCAGGGAGGCTGCGAATGTTGGCTGACAGAGGTGTTGTGAATATATGCTGCACACTACAAACCAGTACCTACCTCTGTATGTTATGTCGGTCAAAGTTTTATTGGGTTTGAAGGAAACTAAAGATTATCAAATGAAACACATCACTGATGCCTGAATTCAAGCAACGAAAGGCGGTTTACGCATTCTGACTAGAGTCTGTGAGATTAGTGGGGTGGATAGTTGGAGACACTTGTCAATCTTATTTGGAATTTATCATAACATACTAATATTATTCATTTTCTGGTTAATTCTTCTTTTTGTGTTTTTGTACACCGTTAAAACTTGAACTGATGCATTCTGAGCATAAAATTTAACAATGAGTTATTAGTCTGTTTACTCGGAAAAAATTTAACAAAACTTTAACTAGGAAGTCTAAGGTAACTCAGATCACAAGTACAAGCAAAGACATGAGTGCGTGAATGACACTGGATAATGGCCATTTATATTATGAACTACATTTGAACAAGTTGGTCAACAATAATCTGTTGGTTTTAACTTGATCCTGTTTACTGCAAAGAAGGCAAACTTTCTAAAAAAATACCAAAGAAACTGTAGAAAAATCGATATTCAGTGTCTCTCAACTTCTGATCTTCTTCAGTTAATGTTATCCTGAAGATAAACTGCCCTCATGTCACTTAATTTCAATGAGATGACTTGTCTGAAATCATTTAGTTACCAAGCACAAAGTAGAAGACTAATTAACCAGTGCATAACTAGGTTTCAGTAATCACAACTTGCACCACATGGTACGAGTGACGCATGGTGGCTTTTGTCTTAACTATTTTACACATCACAAGAAGTCTATCGCTTACACTCACATCAGTATGATCAACTCGCCAACAAAAACGTTATGAAAGCCATAGGATTCCATTTCTTTTCAGTATTCTTATGAAAATTACATAAGAAATCGTGTAAACTCAACGTTAGTTTTCAACAGACTGGCATCAGCAAAAGAACAACCAAAAACCTGATACCATTGGACACCTGTTTCATCCTATTCCCGAACTTTCCAGCCGCAAGCACCCACAACCGCATGAGAGATATGTATTTGTAAGGAGCCACAAAAGAGGATAAAACAACAGTTTAGCCCTATCAAATTTTCGATGACTCCCTAACTAATATCATTCCGTAATGAAAACGACAAAATTATTCAATGTTCTTAAACAGTCAACCAAATCACGTTAATGTTACCTATGCTTAAATATTAGGTGAATAATTACCTACTTTTATATAGTAGACTTCAGTGTCAACCAACATTTCTACACCACTTCATTCCCAGACTATTTCCGATTTTACTGTCAGTTCCCTAGTGTTAATTCATCTCTGTTCGTTTCACTTCGCAACAAGTCAACTAACTGTATATCTTGAACTCTCCTTGTAATGTATTCAATACTTATTTATTGAAAAATATCTCAAGTTAATAATGATTAGTATATCGTGATTGCTGTCACATACCTGAAAGTGACAAACAAACACTTGAAACTTGAAATATTTCAAAAAGTGGTGACTGTCACACTACTAGAAAGAGATAATCTTTCTAGCAACTACCACTTTGAAGAAAAGAGTCAGTCTTAATCGAGTCAACAGGACAACTGAACTTTTGAATGCAGTTTATAATAGATCTGCCTAAATTTCTACGTTTCGCCATCAAAAATATTTCATACATTTTTTTCAACTGTAACACCCTTGACAAGTTTATAATAGCCATGTATCCGTCTTGGTTGACATTTTTTACCGGAAGTTCATTAATTTCTTTTGAGACATCCTTCAGATAGCCTTGTTCACTTTCTACAACATATCTAGGTTAGCCTTTCAACAATAATTTTTTAATCATTTATTCTTGAAACTAACCAATTTCTGTTTAACTGAACAAAGTACTTTGACGTTTTAAACCACTTTACTGCTAAATGACTATAATTTGCACACAACACACATGTCATTAACTTTGTCACAGTTTTGTCGTTAGATTTTCAAACATTTTAATTTAGCAGACTTTCAGTACACGACTTTAGATAAAAGGATAATCTCCCTTACTTCCTATTTTAAGATTACTAACTGCTCTTCAACAAAATTTTCACCAGCGAAATACACAAGGGAATGTAATTCCATGGATTAAAATATGACGCTGACAATTCCATGGATCGCTAAAACGCTAGATTCAGTGTGGCTATGAAGTGTTTCATAAACGTTATGCCTGAAAACAATTACCAACCATTGTACAAAGTTGTAAATGAGATAACTGGTGAATCACGCTAACAAATGGTCATGGGATAGATTGAGCCAACTAGTGAGTATAAAAGATGGCAGATTTAACAGTGGCACTGCTCATTTTGTGATATTTTCAGGGACTTTTGAAATAAATATGAAGTTATCGATCGGTTGAAAACAATGAATCAAATTAAATGAAAAAAACTGTTTGGAGATGACCCCTGAAGAAGTACCGTTTTGCTGCATGTTTATGAGAAAGGTTCGCATCGAAAAACTCTGTAGTAAGTTCTCAGTCGGTTATGATATAGATAAATGCACTGTATGCACTACTATTGTGGAAACATCTTCGTCTTGATAGGACATAAATTACTTCATTTGCTTCATTATAGTCATATGTACGTTGAATATGTATTCCTAAAGTTGAATTAAATAGGGAAAAAATTGTTTTGACGATATGCTAATGCTGAGAAAACGCTTCTCTTCTACAATTTACTGAGAGATCGTGAAACGGCAATTTACCATTTCTGTTACTAAAAAAGTATTTTTATGACTGGAAATTCTTTGCTCGTTGCTTTCAACTAACTAACGAATATATTTTTGTCATATTTTTTTTACCATTGTTCAAAACACACTTTTATTTTAAATTACGTTTAGCATGCCATGTATGATACCAGTGAGATTTCTTCAAAACGAAACCTGCACACCAGCTACTAAATAGCACAGAAGTGAGTTAATAATGGTAAACGTATATGCTGATTGGATTTAGCAGTAGGCACCAAACCTGAGTTTCCTACTTGTTGATATTCATCAACAATACCTGCATTAATCATCCAGGTAACTGATACCTTCACAGAGATGCGAATCAGCATGACAGCGCGGAAGACATGGATATCACTAGTTGACAGTTAACCTCCTACCTAAGCAACATGCATGCTACCCCTCCTAGGAAGATCTGTCAACATATCGTCTATTAATATTGCAGATCAAAAGGGGGAAGTGAGGTCTAACCAGCCCCATAACACCATGTGGCATCACAAAAAGGTGTGGATCACTATCTACCGCATGGTAGTGCATATGAATACCAAGTTCAATAATTTACCAAGACGGAAATATTATAAATGTATGGCCTCGAAGCAACAATTTTTCTGAAAATTAAGATCAAATCCAGTTTTAAGAAATTTTTATCCTCATTTCACACATGTATTTTAACGATTTGGTTTCAATCCCTTGTTATTATTAATAATAAAGAGAAAGTATCACAGGTTTTACGGAAATGCCTGCGAAAAATGGCAGTGTGTACAGTTATTTTTTCTGTTGAACACAACCCCAACATAATTGTATTTGATTTAAACAAAGTAAATATTTAAATAGAGAACTGGATAAATGTTATAACATTGAGAAATAGACTAGGTTCTCGTAGAACTCTGTCTCTTAAAAAGGAATGCTATTCGTCAACGGAATACCACCAAAGCTCTTCCACTGGAATTTAAGTCATGTTATGCAGTGAAATAGTGAACGCCATGCATATCAGCACTCACGTGAATTATACACTCTCACGAAGAGGAGATATTTTGAATTTCTCTCTTTCTTAGCGAAAATACGTCTTTTAAATGAAGTAACGAGAACCATACAGACTAAGTAGTTTCAAATCATGATGGAAAATAAAAGGTGTGCAAAACGAAGTCAGTTTCAACAATCCTACCCTTAATGAACACTATTACTTCAGGTTACGATGAAAGGGAAACGACTTTCAAGGGTAAAATGACGCAAACAAACATCACACAGGAAATAAATCTAACAAAGAGTTATAGAGAAAACATACAAAGTATATAATAGCAAAGTAATAGATGATGTGAGCATCTTTACACAGTTCCAACTAATAGACGCTCCACTATGTGAGGATATTTTGAAACGGGGTTTGTGATGTTTGGTAGTTGCTGAAATAATCCAGGCCTGAGTATATATCCAACAATTAAACGTCATCTGGCATTGAATTTAGTCGTTTTAAATTAGCATTTTCAAGCCTTGAACAACTTTTTATGAACATACCCACACTAAAATGAAAGCCGTAGAAATAAGTGCATACTTTACAAAGTAAAAAACCACAGCACAAGAGTATTCTGTCCTTTTGACTGTCCGCTTGAACTTTTGTTTCACCATAGTTGTACGATAAACCCCGTTTCTTATCCGAAGCACACTTATGACTGATACAAAAAACTAACGCTGGTTTTCAATAAAGTTGCCACCAACTGGAAATTTAATAGGAGTTAAATAAAAATAAAGGAGTAAATCCCCTAGGATAGAAATACTTGGTGAAATCCTGTTACTGATAGTGCATAGTTGTAGTTACTAATTCATTGAACTTTGAAGCTCGCGTTTCAAACATTTCCGATACATATTCATAATATTGTCATTTTTAGATGTTCGCTGAAAACAAAAAGCAGATAAACAAAACAATGAACAACCCAGCAAGCTGCTTATACTTCACACTTAAATCACACAGCAGTGACATGATGCATAGACTGAAAAGTCGGATGAGTTCATATATATATGTGAATTTAATAAATACTTGTCGTAACTGCTGTGTATTAAAACTAAAAAATAGTTAACCTAGTGTTAAATGTAGAGATAGCAATGTAATCATGAGTACACTAACATATTTACTAATACAACAGTCCTTCAACTCAACAAACTGTTTGTTTGTCCGCTTCCTTAAGGCGTAAGATAAAGCAGAAAAGTAAAGGAAGGTTTAAACTCCCTGGGCCATTTCATTCCTCATTTGGTGACAATCGGCAAGTCTTTTAAGCTGAGGTTCGCCGTAGTTCACACATGAATTTTAATTAGGAATTTACAGATCATTACTCACCTCTGAGGTTGAAATCCATGCTGCAGGCTAGTTTCGTTAGCCTACATAATATCCGAATAAGGCATGACCTAATGTACGAACCTGCATGACAGCTGCACTGGTCACAATGACATTGCAGAGTTCCTCGTATAACTTTCTTAAACGTGGTTCACACTATATGTCAGACAGCCACAACCGACAAACTTGTGTATATGAGAATCTCTCCGCTAAACCACTTGTTGTAATTCTATTAAATGTTTACTGACCACAACAATCCAAATTCTTGACTATTTGTAACAAATGACCACTGAAGATGGCTGCACACAAAATCTTTCAATATAGCAACCCTGCATAAGAGATACCATACAAACGGATGCTAATCTTCAACTGATAAACAGCAACTGCAGCAGTATGTTTCATTTAAATCTTTAAAAATGAAATGCAGTAGTACACCTACAGTTTCACTAGAAACATTTATTACATATACCTTCTGGACGTTATTGATGACTAATTTACACAAGAGTGCAAAATTTCTCATTATACTCCAATCTGGCTAATGCTGTTTTAGAAGATTCAGGAGAAATGGTTGTGTGCTTTCACTCTGTTTAAGTTATCTGCATGAATGGTTATTAAAAATTTTAATGGGTCTTCTAGATGGGTCAGAACAATGCAGTCAAAATAAGGTCTACAAAATTTTTAGTTCGTTCGTTTATGTATAGATGACTCTGTATGACCAACGCAACACACCATTTGTAAGACCCTGCCATTTAAAATTGTGGCAAACCCAAATGTGATTTGGGATGAAGCAGAAGTTAAAACTATACTGACTCTTTCAGGTTACCTAATCTAAAAAATAATAAAAATTAAGGTACATACTGATTATTAGATGGTAGAAAGATCAAAGATCATAGCATCAAATAGTGTGCATGTATTTTAGTTTCTAAGCCACGCCTTTCCAATTATGATCACTAGTAAACAAGAGCTTATAGAAAGTATTTAACAGTGACTGAAATGTATCTCAACCGAGAGTTTTATTATCATGTAGTCAGAAGTGTAACTAAGAATTACCTTTCCATCATTCCTAATTTGAAGCAACTATAAACTTTAGGAAAAACTTCAGAGAATCTAACAAGAATTAGCAATGCAATCAAATGAATACAAAAGGTTGTGCGCTAGATAGAGCTTTTGTTAACAAAAGACTGCCATCTTAGCTGGTAAATCTAGGTGTAAGGTGGCTGATCAAACTTGAAAAAACGAACTGCAAAAACTAGACACTTCTGAGTGTTTCACAAACATAAATATCAAACATTTCAGACTGCTTACCAGTAATCCACCAGAATGTCGCTCTCGCATGATGTGAATAAATTCTTGGTAACTGAGACAGTTATCCTCATCATTGTCGAATAAAGCAAATACCACAGCTAAAACATCAGAACTTAGTTCATCTCCAGTGCATGCTTTGATAGCTCGTTTGAATTCAACTGGAAATTTATAAACGAGTTTATTGAGAAGGCGAATGGCTATTAAATAAAATCCTTTGAAAAATGGGGTTACATCATAACTTCGCCTTACCAAATCTGAAATTAAAATTCTTTTGTCTGAAGCACGAAAATCGTAACAGCTTGACCTGCTGTTTTAAATGAGATTCATTTATAATGATGAAGGGTGAAAGTGATCAAGGCTGGTTCATTTCATCAACGATTTAGATGGAACTTCAAAAGGTCAGGATTGGAAATACGATGACCAAATATATTCATACAGTAAAGTATTTTCCAAAAAATCCTAGTTATGATTGCCCCAGTGCGACACAAATATCACGGTTGTTGACAGATTTCAAAAACTGAAGTTTTCCAATACCCCACAAGAAAGTATATGTGTTTTAGGAAAAACACTGAAATTTACAGGATGGCTTAACTCGAATATGCAGAAACTGGAGTGACTAAGTGAAAGATAATCAGCAAGTCTAGAATACGAGCAGTGTATACTGTCTGAGTACGTTTGATATTACCCTCTTCTCCATGAGGAAGAAAGTGAAGATGGGTGTGAATTCAGAACTCGTATTCGGAAATCAAGCGAATGAGCTATACTGCACGTACAAAAACTAGTTAAAGATCCAACTAAGCTTATCTAGGACTATCTCCGCATATCAAAAAGCCATTGTATGAACAGTAAGTTTTTTGACTATATTGAATCTACAGTCCAATGGGTTAATTCGATGAATGAAACATGGTAATCTGCATGACTAATGATAAAGTGATATCATGGTCTAAACGGATTTACTTGAAATAAATGACATTCATATCTTAAGTAGCTAGTTGGTGACGGAAGCCCAAAAAGTCTCAGTAGCACCAAAAGAAATTTAAAATAAAGCAAGAATTGAGTATTAAAAAACGCCAACGAATGTTATATCCAGGGGTATACATCAATTAAGTGATCCTCTTTTGCAGGTATAGTATTCACTATTATCTTTTTTGAGTGATCAGTGATTTTTTGATCATTTTGTCGGTAGTCGGCCTCGCTTCACCTCTAAACATGGATCTAACAAGATGCACGTCGAGCCACCATACTTAGCATTTTCTCTGAATATGGTTGCTCCCAATAGCATTCATAACTCCTATACACCACCATCAAATAGCAGGACAGTAATAGGGTAGGTGAGCTCATTCTTGTGTGAATGATTTCTCTTTAGAAGATTAATAACCTCATATAGGTGAATTAAATAGGTGAATGTGTGAGATAAGTTGCGTTTGCATGCAGTAAATGAGGGAAAGTGTGATCAGTTATCGTGACTAAAAGCACTTCTTAAGCGCCAGTGGATTAGCTGTCTGTAAAGATGAGACTTGCGAGTCGGGACACTAAAAAGCCTTGATATTCATTCAAACGTCTACTGATGTTGGACCACCAAAGAAGAGATTAAATAAAACCACTGCAGTAGCTTATTGTTTTCTAGGGTTCAATTTTACTTATCTTATTTTTGAACAAAAATGTGAAACAAATGAGTAAACCTGTAACGTAGCCCATCTACTAATAAGTAGCATGAAACAAATTAATGATAACATACGCAGGGAAATTGGCTGTCCAGCAATAGTATACATTTTGACTGCTAGTACGAAATCATCCAAACAATTCAGAAACATAAAGAATTTCTGAAACTCACTGAAGGTAATCGCCTATAACGAAAATAATATTATAATGAACAACACAGACTATATTTGGCGAAACACGTTTTTCAAGTCGCATTATAAAAGCGTCATACTCAGAAGCGGAAACCTTGGTGTAACGCAAAAGAATGCGAGCGAAATCAACTGGTGTGATTGTGGATGTCCCCAGTGAATACTGCTGGAACTCAACTTCCAAAGCCTCTGTCTGGACATTTTGCATAAATCTGATGGGGTTAGATATTATTTGAAAACGTACTTCTTGAATTCACTGAAGCTCAAGTTTTGGGTTTTAGCAAATCCAAAAAGGTGGGTCATAAGTGTTGTATTGTAGGCATGCTCTTCTGGTAGCATCTGAAATATGAAGTCACTGATTTCATTTACCACATACAAGGTCGCATTTTTGACATTCATCTGCAGACATATATTTTGTGTTCTCTGTAATTATGTGATTCAGCTAAAAATACGACTCCATGTAAATTTAACTTATCACTAACAATCATAAATTCTTTGGCATCAACTGAACCACTCGAATCCCTGTCGAGCATTTTAAATGCTATTTCGAACCCTGATGGAGACTCTGAAATATTTAATTTATGTAAAAGCTATTCAGACTTGTTAAAATATGAAGCAGAAATAAGTACTCTGAAAATGTTATAATACCATCATTCTGAAGATTTCGGAAAAAACGAGATCCATGTTTTCCCTTCGATGCCTTCATCATTATCCTTTCAACAAATCCAGAATCGCTTGTAACGGTCATTTTGACTAGATATATATTAGTGAGTTATCAGCATAACCTTACCATCTCTCTGATCATTGACCAAAGAACGTAGAAAGTCAGACGGCGTCATGAGTACTACACCATGAACCTGTAGTGAAGCAAATGTGCGAAACCTCTCCTCTAGCGTAAGAGGTCGAACATTGGTTTTCATGCTCTGCTCAAGAGTATTTCATCTTCCGATATCTTACTCATACCTTCATTTGCACATGCTTGCAGTCATATGTGGAAAAATAAAACACTCCTGATAAAGTCGATCCCAGTGAAGTTAGTACTGTGGTTCTTCCTAACCTCCCCTTAAGTGCAGTACTGATGAACTGGCTGATTCTGCAGCCATAATAATAACAACCCATGTGCAGAAACACAATGACGTTTTGTAACTGTAACTAACGAAACCTATTTTCCTTCACAATCTGGTTTATTAAAACACAGTGCAGATTCAGATTTGATGTTTGAGGATGGAAGACTGAGAGCTTACAATAATCCCTTACCAGTATATTTCCGTGCTTGTACAATCCCCTTTTGAACGAGTCAATTGATGATGTGGGCACTATTTCGTCTGGGAGTCGGTTTCAGGCAGTGATTACTCGATGCGAGAACCAGTACACTGTAGAGACTATGTTCGTTCTTTGCTTCTGTAGTCTCCTACTATATCGTCTGAGGTTTTACGACCTTCTGGGAAGGAAAAGAGAAGATAGATCAGGTCCGAAGTCATTTCTTAGAATGCTGTATAGCATGACTAGGTCTCCCCTCTGTCTGCGATAGAACGAAGGGAAGATGTTCAGCTCCTTAAGTCGATCTTCGTAGGTGAGGCCGACCATCGCAGGGATCATACGAGGGGCTGCCCTCTGAACTCACTTAACGGACAAAGCTTTGTCCCCTGTTTACAGTTTTCTGATTTAAACCTGACTAAGGATGTGTATAAGACGGTAATCATGTCACCACTTACTTTCGTGAACGTTCTACGTAATGCCCAAAATATCCTAAAAATCCCAGCTGCCACCATTCGACAGTGTGTCTTAGTTCTCAAGTCACAATTCACTGTGACTCCTAAGTCATTGTGGGTCAGTACTGACGGTAAAAGAGTCCTATCAATATCGTCGGTGTTGCTGTGTGTGTGCCACAAGTGCATGCTCAAACATTTACCTGCATTGATAGGCATCAGTTACTCCTCTGACCAGGCAGAAAATCTGTTTATGTCTGCTTGAAGAGCACTATATCGCCATCGTTCGTCATTTCCCGCCAGATCTTTATATCATCAGCGTAGAGGACCATAAGGGAGTTCGTGATATTTGGCAACTGGTTTACGTCAAAGAGAAATAAGAGGGGCGCAGGACTGTAGCTTGTGGCACTCCACTCTCTAACAACGTCCAAGAGGAAAGTTGAGAGTAGATCCTCAATCTTTGTCTCCTACCAGCCAGGAATTCTGATTCATACAGGCAGACTGCCAGTGATTCCAAAACTTTTCAGGTTCCTGAGCAATCCGGAATGAAGTACTTTGTCGAACGCATCGCTGAAGATCATAAGAATAACATCTACAGATATCCTATCATCTGTTTACCTCTCCTTCGCATTTAGCTACTTTCGGTGTTCAAAAGTACTGAGTCAAACCATTGGTAACGTTAAAGTTATGATTTAACGCAAGTAACGCAAGTTAGGAACCAACCGACGTTGCTAGTCGGTTTGTCATTCGGTAATATAAACGTCTATTCATTAGAAGGTCCTTCAGCTTTTAGCTTTCCTAACCACAAAAGGCCCATTTATACAATCTGGAGTACCAGTAAATTATCCACAGTTAGATATTCGATCAACGCATTTCCAGTTCACCATGTTACGCTTAAAGATAATACAGGTTATTTCAATGAGATTACTTGTAGTAGTAGTGGATGAAAATAGGCGTTGAAACAGCTAAAAGTCCAAACGGCAGCGGTTATATATAGACTTCCGACATTTTTCATATAAGCATGAGCAGCAACGCTTGGAAGTGTATTTGATGCATAGTAACTTTCACGTGAAGTGATCGCTTGCTACAGAGTAACAGAAAACACGTAGTATGAAACAACCGCAGGTAAATCGCATTCCGAGCCAGTAGGTAAGTTGGTCATGTTTAATCCGTTGTTCAGAATATTTGTCTCACTATGACCGTTTGGAGAGTTAAGACGGTTCGTCACTTTAAAATTCCTAGTCAGTAGGCGAGTTAATCGTGAAGACGTTCCAGAGAGAGTGGGAGCAGCCCAGTAATTATTGAAGTCAAAGCAGCGGGTATTATTTTCACTAAATAGATATGTTCAGGCTGAAATCCGGCATCATATGTCCTCATCGAGCTGTTGTGGCAAATAGAAAACGGATGAAGCGCCAGCAGACATGGAAAAGGGGAATAACCACGCAGTCCTTGTTGGGAAAGAGAGAAGTTCCTATGCTTACAGACATGTATCCGGTATTATTAACCAAACAGCTTTTTCATCAGGAGGTTCTTAAAAACTTTCAATGTCTGGGGCATATCGTAGTAATTTCGAGGGGAAACCAGTGTGCACAAAGCTCATTATTGTGAGGAGCGGAACCAGTACCTACACCCCTGTAAGCAGTCGTAAGAGAAACTCGGGGACTATATTAACCCTGTTTCATACGTTTGGAGGTCCAAGTACATCCTTATTAGCCCAGGACGCATAGATGGTGGCTAATTGAGCGATAGGCTCATTGTTTATTAGTGGCCTAGTAAGTGAAGAGCGGAAGAGCGTCAACGAGTTTGCCGTATGGGTTTCTTCTGGAATCCTGTTCCAAATGTGCGCGAAGTTGTTGAGGAAGAAATTATCTCACAGGCCCGCCGTACAATACTCAGTTTCAACCAACACTATATGTTCACGCATTTTGTATGTAGACGCTATAATTAGCTTAACTTGCGGATCATAAGAGTGCGGGTGCTGTTGAAGAAACAGTAAAATATGAGGTTCAGTTTAAGTCTTCCCTTCCAGAGTGGTTCCAACCCCAACATGTCATACCTGGACGTGTAGCCTAGATTAGAGTGGGCTCCTAATGTTCTGAAGGTGAAGTAACGTTGTATCCCTCGAATTCCAGTTTATCTCCTCTATGGAGGCCACTGAGAATAAACCGGCAGTATTCTTAAAGTGGGCGAATGCACACTTTGTAGAGTAGAGCCCGTGATTCAGTGCTACAGAAGTTACGAGCTTTACATCCCAAGAGTTTGTACGACCTTGATCTGATATGTGCTGTTTGTTCCGAGAGTGTCAGGTCTCTGGGACACTTGATGCCAAGATCTAGCACAGACGGTAGTCTAGGCAGCTGTTTTCCGCATACCTCAAGGGTCACGTCATGATCGTCGTTGCCTATGGTAAGCCGACCGCATTTGTCACTATTGAATTCAAGGTGCGACTCAGTACACCATGATGCAAGTTTACTTAGTTCCTGTCGGGCAGCATTCATAGTATTACTTGGTTCATGAGAAAGACAAGTGTACACGACCTTCAAGTCATTGGCTTGTAGGGGTGTTTTGCCCCCACTGAAGCAGTTACACACACTGCTGGTATAAATTATGAACAACAAAAACCCAAGGACACTACCCTGTATAACTCCGCTAGTTATATGTTTAGGTTCAGACTGCACGGGGTTTACCTCTACGGCTCAGGCCCAATCGTAAGGAGGTGATTTAATCGAAATGAGTAAGAGGCCGCGATTACCAGCTGGCTGCAGATTGCTAAGGAGTACATAATGAGGCACCTTATCAAGTGCCTTTGATATATCAAAGTATAGGACAGCGACGATTTTACGTGCCTCGCGGTTATCAGTGACGAAGTTGAAGAAACCAAAGTGGCAAGCAACATGGGACCTATTCCTTATGAAACCACGCTGAGACTTTTTGATTAGGTTTTCTGTTAAAAGGTAATCAGAGACGCTGTTCTTAATTACTTTTTCTATAATTCTAGAGAGGACTGTTGTTACGTTGACGGGTCTGTAATTATTGGCGTTCGATTCGTCTCCGAACTTGTAGTGAGGCGTTATGTAGCTAGTTTTCCATTCAGTAGGGTATACGCCACTTTCCATTGATAGAGTGAATACCTTAAGAAGGAACAGAGACATATCGTCACCGCTGTTCCTGAAAACAATTGAGTTTAGGTTGTCTATTCCCATTTCTGTTGATAGTCACAAGTTCATGATAGCCTCTGTGATACTTTTGACAGTAAAGTTCACATTGGCACATGAACCTGTAGTGAGTAGTGTCAAAGCGGTGGGGTTAAGCGTGCTAAGACTGAGTAGAAATACAAAGTAGCAGATCATGCCAAAGCTTGCAGGACATAGAGAATCGTGACCTAGGTTAAAGGCAGTATTTGTCAACAGATACGATACATCCACGGTCGCATAGACTGTTAAGGGACGTAGTTTTGAAAGTCAGAGAGCGGCAGACCTGAGAAATGTCGCGCAAAAGGTGAAAACATAGGTTAAAGTTGAGCTTCAGGCTTCCTAGACAAAGTGAGTCGATCCTCAGTTTCTCACACATTCCTTCATATACGTTCTTCATGATGGCCCAGTACACAGTGAGTAAATTTTCTTTGAACATCCTCAGTGTGTATTCCGTCAAGAGTATGCATATTGCTCGGGATGACTTTGCCATATTCAAATAACGGACGAATCATTACTTTGAATCAAAGTAGTTAGGGCTGAATGGTGGGTAAGTGTATAAGCAAAAGGCCGGCAAAGGGACTGTAACAGCCTTAATCCAATAATCTTGGCCTGAACGCGAGGAATAACTAGGCGGTGCCAACTGACGTGAATCTGACTAGTTCCTTCCTTCTACTGTGTAGCTTCCAAACTTCCGCAAGTGACGCGCAGTCAAAGGTTGGATCAAAATATCAAAACAAGGTTTGTAGTAAATCAGTGATAGATTCAAGACCAAATCTGTGGTACTATCAATGCAACAATGAGTTATATAAAAATTACGAAAATACCTCAACAGTGCTGTTGGGTAACTTTAAAGCCCAAATGTTCTCTGGTGCAAATACGTACTACACGGTAAAAACTGGTTAAACAGGTGCAAGTGCTAAAGAACGGAGAGTCGATAAGGATATTCCTGACAAAGGTATCAAAACTCTGTCTGCCGGAATCAAATCAACAAATAGACGTTTCCAGTAGACAGTCAAAAGACAAAGTCAAATCACAGCTTAACCGTAAGTTGAACCAAGACATAATATCGGGCGCAGTAAAACAACGTCACCTTGTCAACAAACCAGCGCCGCATAACAGGAAAGTGAGGCATCCATGATAAGTCTCAATCCCACAAAGGTGAATATTCAGCGTGAAGTCGAAGAAGACAGTCAAACAACCAAATAACATCACATCGACTGGGGTCAAAGGCACACTATCCATAACGAGAGTAAAAATATTCAACTA